TATTCCCACATCCGCCCTGTGGTTATTCTATATATTTACATCCACAGACCTGTGTTTTATTCCTCTATAATTCACATCCAGCCCTGTATTCTTATATTAGACATCCAGCCTCTATATTCCTCACATCATACATCCAGCCTGTTGTTTATTTCCTCTATATTCACATCTAGCCCTGTGTTTATTCCTCTATATTCACATCCAGCCCTGTGTTTAATCCTCTATATTCACATCCAGCCCTCTCTATATTCACATCCAGCCCTGTATCTATTCCTCTATATTCACATCCAGCCCTGTGTTTATTCATCTATATTCACATCCAGCCCTGTGTTTATTTCTCTATATTCACATCCAGCATTGTGTTTATTCCTCTTTTTGCACATCCAGCCCTGTGTCTATTCCTCTATATCTCACATCCAGCCCTCTCTGTATTCACATCCAGCCCTGTGTCTATTCTTCTTTATTCACATCCAGCCCTGTGTTTATTCCTCTATATTCACATCCAGCCCTGTGTTTATTCCTCTATATTCACATCCAGCCCTGTGTCTATTCCTCTTTATCTCACATCCAGCCCTGTGTCTATTCTTCTATATCTCACATCCAGCCCTGTGTCTATTCCTCTATATCTCACATCCAGCCCTGTGTCTATTCCTCTATATTCACACCTGGCCCTGTGTTTGTCCCTCTATATTCACACCCAGTTGTGTGTCCATTCCTCTATATTCACACCCAGTTGTGTGTCCATTCCTCTATATTCACACCCAGCTGTGTGTCCATTCCTCTATATTCACACCTGGCCCTGTGTTTGTCCCTCTATATTCACACCCAGCTGTGTGTCCATTCCTCTATATTCACACCCAGTTGTGTGTCTATGCCTCTACATTTCGCACCCTGCAGTGTGTCTTCTCCTCTATATTCTCATCCATCCCTGAGTCTATTACTCTATATTCACACACAACCCTGTTTCTGTCGCTCTATATTCACACCCAAAACTATCTGTCACTCTATAAGTGTACTACCACGAGTTCCTCATTCACACACAAACTTTAAGACAGTAATGAAACCCAATCACCTGTGTGTCACTAAAGAGGAAAACCACAGGTTCATCACGAAGGCCAGCTTTCATCATGACTTTCTTCAGATCTTCGTGCCAGTCATGGGTACTGTAGTTTTTGGACAACTCAATTTGGAAGCAGTCATACTCAGAACTGGAGAAGTTATACACTGGAAAGTTACACACTGAAGACAACTTAGACAAAAGGACAAAACAACTTTTCATTATGATCAAAGTATGAGAAAAGAGAGATGAAATAATCTAAATTAGAAACAGAGAAAACATCATCATCATAAAGCAGATCCTTTGAAGAATGTCGCTCTCATCACGGTCTGCCTGAGAGAAACTCGGTCTCTCGCCAGCTCTCCCACCTCACCTACTTTCATATTTAAGGAGTCACTTATATCCTGTGCCCATCTTCGTATTGGTCGGTCCCTGCCCCTCCTTCCTGGTGCCATGCCTCCTGCTGTAATTTTTTCCAATCCACCATGCCGCTTGATGTGACCAAAATATTTCAGCTTCTGAGGCAAGATGCTGTTTATTAGTCAATCTTCCTTGATGATTAGATTTTTTTAAAGTCAGTATTTCTTCTCTTCTTTGTCCATGGTGTTCTGAGAATCTTTCAGAGAAAATAAAAGCAGCAAAACATGTTTTGGGGAGACTGGATGAAAACAGGGCAGTTAATTTTTGTTTTGTTTTTAGAAATGAAGATAAGTGAAATTTTTGGGCCACAACACATAACATTCTTAAGGAAACCATAAGGGTAGAAAATGTGTAGACATGCAAGAAAGAGACACAATGAAACAGGTGGGAAGATAGTACAATTTGAGAAAGTGTACAATCAAGGTGATGGACAGAAAGTGTTGGAGATACATGCATACATAAACAATATGACAGTTAAATAATGAGACATTTTATCATGACCAAGACACACACAAAAAGTCATTCCTGAAGAAGAAGAGCATGTCATCTAAACAAGCAACATTCACCTATGATCTGTCAAACTTTTCCAGTCAGCGGACAAGCAAATGAACATCTTCTTCAGGTAGTAAGTGGAAAATGGTTAAGCTTGCAGCAGATAGCAAACATTAAATTATGTTTTTAATTAGGACAATGTGCTATTAGGATTAGTGTTGCTTGTTTGGATGGCATGCTTTCCTTTATAAATGTTGTTTTTTTATTCACAATTTAAAAAAATCCTATTTAATTATCAGACTGTGCACATATGCATGCATGCAAAGATACAAACAGGCAGACAGAAATGTAGGCAGGTGACACAGTCAGACTGACTGATGATGGGTGGGTGCAGGTATGAAGGTAGGATAAAAGCCAGTCAGACAGAGAGACAGAATAACAGATATGTATGGGGTTTGGGGAATATAGGTATGTAGGTGACTTATACAAACAGGTCTGTAGGTAGGTGAAAGACAGGCAGAATGACTGATGGTGTGTGGGTGTAGGTAGGTAGGAGAAAGACAGTCAGCCAGTTAGCCAGACATCCAAAATGACAGACAGATAGTTTGGTAGAGGTAGGAAGATGGAAGACAGTAAGAATAATCAAAGATGGACAACTAAAGGTAGGCTGATGGCAAAAAAACACCCAAACCAGTTAGACTGACAGACCAATGTATATTGGCAGGTGACGCAAAAAGACAGACAGCCAGCCAATTAGACAGACATCCAGAAAGACAGATAGATAAATGGGCAGCAGAGCAAACAGCCTAGCAGTAAACCTCTTACATGTGGGAGGCAAGCCTTGTTAAGCTCTGTCGTCCACTACCTCCCATACCCAACAGAAGAGCATTACCCAGGGGCTGCCTCAAAATACGAGCAATGCGGCTGACATGTGACACTGCATCCATAAATAGAACCAGCTCCATTTTCTTTGTAGATTGCTGGTTGAACTCAGTGAGGAAGTCTTCCATGCATCTTTGTGCCTGAAACAAATATGTGGTATTAATGCTCAGCTGGCTTCATACAGGCTCGTCTTCTTCTAGATACTTTGTATTTTAACTGTAGTTGTTACTCATTACGCTATTAAAAAAAAGTCATTAATACCTGAAATTAACACCTTTTAGGAGGTGTCAGGCAGAAAAGGGAGGGGGGGGGGGGGTGGATGTCATGAGCTTGAGGATTTAAGGCCACATGGCTAGTGCAGTCATCATAAGCTGTGCAATTTAGGATTTTTTTCCTTTTCCTCCCCCCCCCCTTGACAGAAATATTCCATCTCTTACTGAGAATCAAACAGGCTAGCACTCCAACTACTCAGCCAACCAATCATCTATTTTTTTTTTTCAATACTTATTAGTTATTTACAACCCTGTGAGGTTTCCGGGGCGAACAAGAATAGACCCACTGCCTGCCCAAAAGCATATCATAGGAGTTGACTAATTGGGTGCTTCCTTCGAAGTCAGAGTACATCTGCCTGAGAGGCAAGGAACCAACAGACTGCGTACAAATTAGTTAGACGCAACACTCAGTTTCTGGAACAGGACTAGAGTAAAGAAGTGGATGAGCAGCCAGAACTTTCCGCTGGAGTTTACAACCAGTGAATTTGAAGAAGAAGTAGTTATTTAATGTCTTATTGTCTCAGTTAGTTGTCTAAGTTGCTTTCTTTGAGCATATTATCAGAAGAGAAAAACTGGTATCCTTCATAATAAAAGAAAAACAGATGAGGATTTCTGTTTCTATTTTGATGAGCCTGATTTTGATTTTCTGTATTCTTATTCGTAAATGTAACAGTGCCTAATAGTGTCATCTGCTGATAAAGGCTTTTTAACAGCAACATCCATATGTTTGTGATTGTAATAATGTGAAGCTCAGTTGTTGTACTTTTTGACTGGTTTGATATCTTTTCATAAATCAAAGAAAGTCGGAGGGCAAAAGAGAGGCAGCTAGAGATCAAGGGATGGATGTTGAGCATTGGGGCATCTTGGCATAGCAAAAAATCTGTATCAAAAATAACTCACAGCACACACAAAATGTGGCCAGACACGAGTATCAAAGCCACAAGGCATCAACAGAAATAAGGCATTTCATTTCTTCTTTGCACCAGTCAACTGTTAACACTTTCTTCTTCTTTTTCTGCTTGTCAGTCCACTCCTTGGTCTTGTTGCATAACTTGAATTGTGGATGCACAACCATTTTACAGATCTGGCTTACTTGAATGCAGACTGTTGGTTCCTCGCTTCTCTGGCAGATGCACAGCAACTTCAGAAGTAAAATCTCTAATTAATCACCATTTATGCCATGCTTGTTAGGGAGACAGTGGATCTATTCCCCCCACCCTTTTCCCACCAGTGGCCCTGGAACCCACACAGAAATAACATTTCAATTCAAAACAGTTGATACTTTTAACTTCTTCTATTCCAAGGAGCTAATTTTAAAAGCAAAAATACCTAGTGTGGAGAAGTTCAATAAAGAAGCTAGAGAAGAAAAGAAGTTGAAATAATAATTCTGATATAAAAGGTTATATTGTCTGTGTGTTACCGGGGTCCTCACAGTTAGCAAACAATAGTAGCAACACTGAGCTCAATTAGGCATGTCGCAAGAGGAGACTAAGGGTAGGGTTGGGCTTGCGGGTCGGTTAACTCATCCTGTAAAACCAATAGACACAAAAACCAACCAACCAACCATTGAAAAGTTAAAAAGAGAAGATATAACTAGAATGTCTTTTCACTGGAACCCACAGGGGCATAGAAAAAAAGGTTAAACGTTTGTTGCATGCCATTTACAGGACATTGCAGAACCAACCCTAAAATAATTTTGTGTATGGTTCTTCTGGTTTCTCTAGGCAAATTTTACTTTCAGTAATTTGCTTAGAAATAAAAGCAGACCAATAAAACACATGGACAAGGGGGCTACAGAGTGAAGTTAAAAAGATAGGAAGGACATGGGGTGAGCTGCATGCAATAGCGAAAGACAAGAATGACCTGGCAAAGCCGGCTCCAGTTAAGGGTCCATGCTGCTGATGTCACCGGGTCGGGCTAATGAAGCATTATCGCAGCCGTTCTCAAAATGGGTGCCCTGTGCGTATGCCAGAGGTGCCGTGGCAATAATCAAGAAAAGGCAGCTAAAAATTGTGAAATTAATGGAGGTGTGTAGATACTTAAAAGTTAAAATTTAAGTTGTCTTCCCTCGCCACTGTCGAAAAAGTTTATTCCTTTTTTGAGAACCACTGCGTTGTCGCATTGTTAGCCCGACCGGGTGACATCAGCAACAAGGCTCGTAAGCTGGAGCCGGTCGTGGACATGGAGAGAGTTGATTGAGGGTTTATACTTCACTGGGGGGAATAGAAGGCAAAGAAGAAGATGATGATGATGATGATGACAACAGGAACAGTATTATTATTCTGGAAATGATCAAGAAACATATGGTTTTTTTTAGCACCAAAACATTCATTTAACCGCTTTAATCCCTAACATTTACACTGTAAGTTATGCATGTTTACATGTGAAGAATTAAAACAGTAATACCACAATAAGGTTTTTTTTTTTAAAAAAGACGTTTGCTTCAAACAATATAAGAAAGCAAATAGTAAGGAATCTTTTCATGCCACTGACATACTAGATATATGGTGCGATCCCATAATTTTATAAAGCAAGTAGTACTTGACGTGTGATATTATCCGTATCATGAAATCAACCTTTACTTTTCAGGACATTTGCATGTACCCATTTCAGACTGTCGACCTGGGAGGCTAACTCAAAGACAAACATCTGTCACAGCTTTAAACCTTAAACAAAAGCATTTGGTCACTGTTCTACCACCATGCCTCTTGAGAATTCATTTCCTTCTGTACCGACCCTCAAAAGGGTGGCTGATATGTTGTAATTTACAGCTAGGCTGTGATATCAGCAACTTCTGACCTAACTTATCCGATTTTAGTAAAGTCTTAATTAGTCACCTTTTATGGCATGTTTGATTAAGGGACCATGGATATACCCTCCACCCCCCCCCCCCCCCCCAAATGAGAACCCCATAACCATGGGTTATGGGGATCCAGAATTCACAGTGCACGGAGGACGGAGAAAGAAAGAAAGAAAGAAAGAAAGAAAAAGAAAGAAAGAAAGAAAGAAAGAAAGAAAGAAAGAAAGAAAGAAAGAAAAGAAAGAAAGAAGAAAGAAAGAAAGAAGAAAAGAGAAAGAAAGAAAGAAAGAAAAGAAAGAAAGAACAGAAAGAAAGAAAGAAAGAAAAGAAAGAAAAAAGAAAGAAGAAGAAAAGAAAGAAAGAAAGAAAGAAAGAAAGAAAGAAAGAAAGAAAGAAAGAAAGAAAGAAAGAAAGAAAGAAAGAAAGAAAGAAAAGAAAGAAAGAAAGAAAGAAAGAAAGAAAGAAAGAAAGAAAAGAAAGAAAGAAAGAAAGAAAGAAAGAAAGAAAGAAAGAAGAAAGAAAGAGAGAGAAAGAAAGACATAAGAAAGAAAGAAAGAAAGAAAGAAAAGAAGAAAGAAAAGAAAGAAAGAAAAAAGAAAGAAGAAAGAAAGAAAGAAAGAAAGAAAGAAAGAAAAAGAAAGAAAGAAAGAAAGAAAGAAAGAAGAAAGAAAGAAAAAAAAGAAAGAAAGAAAAAAGAAAGAAAAGAAAGAAAGAAAGAAAAAGAAAAGAAAGAAAGAAAGAAAGAAAGAAAAGAAAGAAAAGAAAGAAAGAAAGAAAGAAAGAAGAAAGAAAAGAAAGAAAGAAAGAAAGAAAGAAAGAAAGAAAGAAAGAAAGAAAGAAAGAAAGAAAGAAAGAAAGAAAGAAAGAAAGAAAAGAAAGAAGAAAGAAAGAAAGAAAGAAAGAAAAGAAAGAAAGAAAGAAAAAAGAAAGAAAGAAAAGAAAGAAAGAAAGAAAGAAAGAAAGAAAGAAAGAAAGAAAGAAAGAAAGAAAGAAAAAGAAAGAAAGAAAGAAAGAAAGAAAGAAAGAGATCAGGAGAAGAAAGAAAGAAAGAAAGACAGAAAGAAAGAAAGAAAGAAAAGAAGGAAGAAGAGAAGAAAGAAAGAAAGAAAGAAGAAAGAAAGAAGAAAGAAAGAAAGAAAAGAAAGAAAGAAAGAAAGAAAGAAAGAAAGAAAGAAAGAAAGAAAGAAAGACAAAATTAAATGAAAAAAAAGAAAGAAAGAAAGACAGATAAAAGAAAGAAAGACAGATAAAAGAAAGAAAGAAAGAAAGAAAGAAAGAAAGAAAGAAAGAAAGAAGAAAGAAGAAAGAAGAAAAGAAAGAAAGAAAGAAAGAAAGAAAGAAAGAAAGAAAGAAAGAAAAGAAAGAAAGAAAGAAAGAAGAAAGACAAAAGAAAAGAAGAAAAAAGAAGAAAGAAAGAAAGAACATAAAGAAAGAGCATAAAAGAAAGAAAGAAAGAAAGAAAAGAAAGAAAGAAAGAAAGAAAAGAAAGAAAAGAAAGAGAAGAAAAAAAGAAAGAAAGGAAAGAAAAGAAAGATAGAAAGAAAGAAAGAAAGAAAGAAAGAAAGAAAGAAAGAAAGAAAGAAAGAAAGAAAGAAAGAAAGAAAGAATGAAAGAAAGAAAAAAAGAAAGAAGGAAATGCTGGAAACTCACACCAGTAAGATCCCCAACAAGTTGATATGGCCGGGGGTCCATGTCCTGGTTCATGTAATCCCCGTAGATGACCGGTCGGGCGACTACAACATTGGCCAGCTTTATTTTGAAGTCACTGTTCATGATGTCTGAGAGAATAGTCTCAAACTCGTCCCTGTCTTCATCATTGACAAGTCGATCTTGAAACACTCTGCAGCATTCGTGGTACCATAGGCGCAGAATGTCCTGCACGGACTGTCAAGACAGCAAAGACAATTTAAAAAGACTTGGTGTAGCTGTATTTGATGGCAAAGGACAGCAGGGCCCAGAAACAGTTGTTTGAGGGCGCATGCCTAATTGGGGATAAAAGCATACAAAGAAGGAGAAGGAATCTGATGGGTATATGGGAGGGGGGTGGGGCACAGAAAAAAAAAAGAAGTGGAGGAGGAGAAGAAGAAGAACAAGATTAAGAGTCAGAGGAGGAAGTGGACAACAAGCAGGAGAAGAAGAGGAAAAGAACACAGAAGAAAAAAAAGAACCAAAACAAAGAAGAACAGGTGGAGGCTGTGCTATCTCCATGTCTTAACCATATTATTTTGGAAAGTAGTCTATTTCTCCATCATGTTCTCCTCTGTGCAAACACTTCATTATCATTAGCTCTTTCTGTCACCTTTGCTAGCAGAACATTCCCAATAATGCCCAATATACTTTCCCAAAACATTACTTTCAAAGTTGTTACGTGTGCAGTGGAGTTAATCAATGCAAGGTCAGATATTTTTCAACTGACTAAATCTACAAAGTTTAAAAACATATTAGCTAATTTAATAGGATTCAGTGGTAAATTACACACATATGAAAGAGTTAAGTCCCTCCTCTCCACAGCATAAAGTCTGGACAGTAGTTTAGAGACGTGTTGCTCATGCAACAAGATCCCTTTCTCTGAGGCATAGTTAACTCCAAAGGTAACAACATTTGTGTGGAGCACAGCATTTGCAGTAGCTGTTGGATTAGAAGAACCGTGCTCTGCCCGCCTCTAAGAGCTACCACTCCTAGATCAATTGCCTTTCTAGGTCAGGTGGTACCTGGTGTAGAAACTTTCCTGTCGGAGCTTTCCTCCTAGACCGGTTGCCAGTAGCATTTCTAGGTCTGGTGGTACCTGATGCGGAAACTTACCAGTCACCCTCACCCCTTTTCTACGTTACGTCCAGCTACCGCCAACCATGACTAAGGACTGGTCTGCCCTGCCATAACATGAAGTTTTCTAGTTGCAATCCCTAGTCCTAGTACATTAAAAGTATCCTTGCCATGGCCTGAGCCACCCAAAGACTTTATATGAGATGTCTCCAAGTAGGATGTCAGGTTTGGTATATGCTGCCCAACATTCAGCATTAACATAGAATACGAAGTAACAATTACTTCTCTTATAGCACCTCAGCCATAGCTGACCAAGTCATATCAGCTCAGTCATACCACACCAGGACCTGACTGAAAGAAACCTGACTGCCCCAGGCAGTAAAGCAAAGAAAACCACAGTCAAGACACACCTTGTTTTCTTCGTGATCTGCCATCAGAATGCCTTGGAACACTTTGGATAAGTCTCTCAAGTTGAATGTGTAGTGAGATTTGGCCGGGGTTGGTAACATCTTCTTCTGTACCATGCTGTACATACTGATGCTGGAGGTGACCAGCTGGTCGCAGTGAGAGACTATAGATGGACAATTACCTGCAGGAAAATAATGCTCAATTATTTCAGCTAAGTAGCTGTGGCTGATCAGCATGATGGTGGACATGAACGAATGAGCGAACAAATGAACAAACTTTTTATTTTCAAAGGATAAGAATTGGGCACAGAGGCCCTTCTTACATTCTGCCCTTCTGGCCTCACGCCATGCATACATTATTCATGCACACATCGTTTTAGCAGATAATAATAACACTATTAATAGGCATCATCAACAACAACTGTGTAATAATGTGCTTTCAGTATGCCTAAATTTTAAAACAATTACAAAACTAAATATAATAAATCTTGGTGGAAATCAACAATATTCTTAGGAAACTTACCTTCTAAGGGGGCATTTAGTCTGTAGTGAGATAATATTCAAAAAGCTTTTAATTGTATTTATAGGGGTTGTTGCTGTTTTTGATTGGTTGTAGAAGTCGGTTCCACAGATCAGCTGCAGAGTATGCCAAGCCTGTTTTGTACAAGTCTATTCTAGATTTAGGGATGTGCAATATGTTTACCTGTTTGCTATGTCGCCAATAAAACTTAAAGAATGGCCAAATGTAATCTGGAGCATTTTTTAATAAGATTTTGTGAATAACTTTGGCCTTATTGAAAAGTAGTCGTTTAAGGAAAGGGTAGTAACTTAAGATCTTTACGTATACTGGAACTGTCTCTTACATGATAATTACTGACTAAGCGAACAGCTCTTTTTTTGAAGTGCTTTAAGCCGTTTCCTGATTGAACTTGGACAGCCATCTCATATTGTGGAGCAGTAGTCTAGATGAGTCTGAATATGGGAGGTATAGAATATCCTTCTGGTGTTTTCATCCAAAAAGTGTTTAATTTTTGCAAGCTGGTATACATTTGTAGCTGTTTGTTTCACTAGAGCTTGCGCATGAGAAGTGAAGGTTTAATTTTTATCAATAATTACATCTAAAGCTTTGTGCTTAGTTAACCATTCTACTGGGTTGTTACTGATGTAGAGTTCAAGAGTATTCTGTGCAGATAAAGAATATAGCTTTTGTCTTGTTGATATTAACATGCATTTCGTTTTACTAATATTTACTTGCATGTGGTTTGCATAGTTCCAGGAAACTACATTGTTTAATTCCTGTTGTAAAGATGACTCTAGAATATCACACGTTTGAGACTGTACATATCAAGACATCCTGTGTTAGAAAGTTTATGAGGCAGGAAAGTCAGCAAAGGGGTGAGGGGCTTTCTGGGGTTTTGTGATGAAAGCATAATTTTGAACAGGACCTGCAACATGAGGATGATGATTTAAGCCCATCCTGAGTGATGGGCTTCAAATTGTCTAGGGGACTTAATCAACATAGTTTTTCATATTATTTAGTTATGTCCCTTGCCATTCAGTTCTTTTCTTGCTAACATTTATTTCTGGCGGTCACTCACATGTCAGAGATTCAACTAGCCAGACAGATGTGATCTCTCTTAGAGATACTGCAGTAAAGGGGTCAAGATACCAAACACATACAATTTTTTTTTTAATCAACAATTTTAGACCAATTATTCTATAATGGTCGCTATTAGCGTTAAATGTTGATACATTTTTACACTTTTAGAATTTAAAAAAAAAAAAAATTATAGTTGCCCTGGATGAGTTGCCGTGGCATAGCAGATAGACGTTTGCCTCGGATCGGAAGGTCGTGGGTTCGCTCCCTGGAGGAAACAGACTTTTTTAAAAAAATGACCTTGACTCCCAGGTCGACCCAGCCTTGAGTGGGTATCGGGTGCAGTCCCGGGAAGTAAAGGCAGCCGGCGTGATGCTGACCACATCACCCATCTTGTGCTGATTGGTGTATAAAAGTATAGGTCTAGCCCTATATGCCTAAAGGTGTGGAAAAGGGACCTTTACTTTACTTATAGTTGCGCTTGCAATAGCCACCATTTTGAAAATACACATGTATTTAGAATTGTAATATTTCAGAAATAAACATAGATATTGTGAAATAAGTTATTCATCTGTGAACTTCAATCACATTTTGAAAATGGCAAAAATATGTTTTTTTTAACATAACAAATGTGTTCTGCATACCCTATGTGTGTGTGTGTGTGTGTGTGTGTGTGTGTCTGTGTTTGTGTATGCATTGTGTGTGTGCATGCATGCATGCATATGTGTGTGTGTTCATGAAAGGAGTGACAACAAGATTTTTGCACTGGGTACCATGTGACCTTGCTACGCCACTGTATCCACCACTGTAGTGAGAATCTGAACCTGGGCTTCCAACAAGAGAGCCTAATATACTAACCAGTTTTCCAGCCACTCTACCTTAAATGATCATGTGAAGAAAAGGGTAGTCTCATAAAAGTCTTCCATGATTCCTCACTTTTAGCTAAACAATAGCAGTATACATGGTACCAGGAAAGAGGGGCAAAGGTCGACCCGCACAAAGGTGGGCACAGGATATAAGTGTCAACTTGGGTATTAAAGGCTATGAGGTGAAATTTTTTGGAAGAGAATGAGTTTCTTGCAGGCAGATCATGATGACAGCGACATTCTGCAAACGACTTTTTAAATGATGATGACTCCTCAGATACTCGACAAACTGCAACATAAAACACAAACAATCCATGGAGATACTGTCCTATGTGGATACAGTATGAATCTCCGAATGACAAATCCTATTTTACTCATGCAGTTAGTCTTTCCTCTTGAGCCCAGAGTGGTGCAAAGGGCAGAGGTCACAGCTCTCCACGTCTGCCGGTTCCTTGCCACCTGTTTTAGGTCTTAGATGTTCATGAGGCCTATGGCTGAGTCTTCTCTGATGATGATTCTACATGCAGGGTCTCTCTTGGTCTTCCTGTTTTCTTTTTCTTTCCTGTGTGAGGGCTTGATGGGGGGGAGTCAGGTCTTAACACTTCTGAGTGCATGGCCGATGTTTACTCATGCAGTCTTCTTCTTTTCTCTACTCCTGGAATGCATTGCAGCATTAGCGCTAGAGACATCATGCAGTGATGACAATAATATGAGATGAAAACTTCTGTAAACCAGTTTTTCTTTTACTGCAGAACTAGGTATACAAGAACTGGTGACTTGTGCAAACTGTGATTATTTTTCTTCTTTTGCATTCACCCTTAAAGGGCAGCTGGCACACTTTGTTGTGGTTTACAGCTAGGCTGTTACATCTACATTTTTTTTTGGGGGTGCCCAACACATCCGATTTCAGCAAATACCTAAGTATTCACCTTTCATAACTTTGTTTATGGAAAAAAGGGGATGGGAATGTGGTCTGTTCCCCCCTCCCCGTTGTTTTGTGTGCAGATTCATTTTACAAATCTAGCTTATTTGTATGCGGACTGATGGTTAGACCCACTGCCCCCCCCCCCCCCCCCAATAAGCATGTCATAAAGGCGACAAAAAATTGATTAGCTGAAATAGGATGTTTTTGGCCAAAACATATCATAGATATTATAGCCCATCTGTAAACCACAACATAACTTATCAGACACATTTTAAGGGTGAATGCAGAAGAAGAAGAAACCAAAGACTACCAGCCCCACATGTATTTGTACTAGCCACTGTTCTAAATGGCTCTCCTCTGGCACAACAAGCAGAAACAAAACATTCGTCTTACTGATCCAGAACATCAAGATTGTCCTGAAGATCTTGAACAAGCTGGCATCCTCCATTGCTGTAAATGCAAGGTAACTGAAATGCCTCAGCAGTCTCGCAGTCACTGGATTTCTTCCCCCACCGGGGGGACCCATGGCACTAAGGAAGTTCACATCGGTCAATGTACGGAATTCACCTGGTGGGGAAGGGAAAAAAAGGTAGTTGTGTATCTTTTAAAGAATGTTTCAAACCAACCTCCAACATTTGTTGGTTGTTTGTGGTTTTACAAGCAATTTTTACATTCAGTTATTTGCCATTTCTTTACCAGTGGCTGGCTCTTGACACCATTGACCAAAATAACACAAAGTGATCTGCTGCCTTACTGACAGCAGGATAAAAGACAACTATCTGAAAATAAAAAAATTAAAGTAAATCTTATTGCCCCATGTAAGGCACTATATGTGATTAGCTACGGTTTTTGTGTGTATTATAATGCATGTTTTTTTTTTTTTTAAATCTTTTAACTCTTTGAGTCCCAGAGGGGTTTTGCATCACAGGCCCAGGGGGTATTAAAGAGAGTCATAAAATCGGTGCATCATGCGTTCTTTGGGCTTCTAGGTAGATATCTATGAACGTATGATGCGTTCCTTGGGACTCAAAGAGTTAACCCAAGTCCCGGGGGATTTAGCATCAAATAGCCCAAGTGGTGGTAATGCAATTTATTTTATTTCACAAGCGTAACACATTAAAACAGACCATACAATTTCAAATGCCACCAACCTACACATAAACATACATCAAAGTGACCAGGGATTGTTAAGGAACAATTATTTAATACAGCAACTACAAATAATTGTGTCAGTAATTAAATATTAGTAAATAAACAGACAATAAGTTTACAAAAATTAGTAAATTTAAATTTAATAATGTCCACCTACCACCATGGCACTCAAGGAAGACTGGTTAAATTATATCCAAAATGAATCACAAATGAATATGAACCACTTAGTAATGTATAAGTAAAATATAAACTCAATCTATACATTAGATTTTGTTTCAGAAAATCTTTTGAATCATCATAACAGAGCACCATCATTTGGTAAAGAAAACTGACTCCCAAAACAAAAAATACGTTAGTTGGGTTGTCATCATTGCACTCCGAGCACATAGGTGCTCAGATCCTCCCCTCAGTATGAACCCCAACGGCTGATGGCTAATAGTACCAGTTCTATGTTGATTAACAAGTCTTCTGGTGTGTCTGGTGTGCGTCTTGTTTTTTGCTATGCCAATCTTAATTACCAAGTAAAAAACAATAAGTATCTTCACACAAAACAAAGTTTATCTAACATCAATTTGCCTGTAATTGTGTAGCTATGTTCCTAAATAATAAGGGGAAGAGTACTAGAACTAACTGACACTGAAGAAAATCGTCTTTTCACTAATGTTTATTCTATTTGTGACAGCTGATTTGTTGTACTCTTCACGCGAGGTACACATTAGACATATTCCTCATCAAAGTTTAACTCTATAAATGACTGAAACACGTCTAATTCGCAACGTTTATTTAAATTCGGATAAATTGAATGAACACATACTTTTTTTAAATTTGAGGCATCTTAAGCTGTAAGTCATGTTGGCATGCATGTAGAATACTGCTTGGCGGCCAAACAAACAGTAACTTGGCAAATCTCGCAAATATACTATATTTTCGGCTTTCACACCATGATTCTAAATGACCACACCTGACATCAGACACAAAGAACTCGAAAGAAAGTTTTAATTGAGCGGTCCGCGTTGGTAGATTAAAAACTTTCACCTTTTACTCATCGACTGTGCCACCGGGTTGTAATAAATTAGCACGTGATGCGCTCCATGGGACTCAAAGAGTTCATTTGATCTCAATCAACATGCTTAATAAATCTGACTAGTGTTTTTACAGGCAGACAGGCTGGCAGACAGGCTAGCAGTCAAGTAGGCAGATAGACACATTTCTTCTTCTTACTAGGGCAGTTGGTGCATTCTGCTGAGATCTACAGCTAGGCCAGGAAAGATGTGCTTTTTGGCCATACACATCTAATTTCAGCAAGTCCTTTATTAGTCATCTTTTACAAAGTGCTTGTTAAGAGGCAGTAGGTCTACTCCTTCCCCCCCCCCCCCCCTCCCCCAATCTGGAAAAAAAACTACCAAATGGGGAAGACAGACAAACAGGCAGATAAATAAGTGGGCAGAGACACAGGAGCAAGCAGACCCAGGAGCAAGCAGACCCAGGAGCAAGCAGATGCAGCAGCAGGCAGGGAATTTTGGAGCAGATTCACATACCGATAGCTTTGCGGTCATACCATCCACCGAAGTCCATGTACTGTCTGATGAGTTCAATTGGAGGCTGGGCTCCGTAAGTTTCTAGGACCGGCATATTGAGATCATCAATGAAGAAGACAGAAAATTTACCCACCGGGGGCCCATAGATACCTTTTCGCCTGTAATATTAAATGGAGAGACCATATGTCTGTTGTAGAGACAGGCATAAAGGCTTAAGCAAAACAGTACATCTACCTACACTACAACACTCAGTTTCTGGAATAGGACTAGAGATCAGAAGTGGATGAACTTTTCCACCTGAGTTTACAGCTGGCGAAACTGAAGAAGAAGAAGTGCACCTACTTCACCCTGTGGGCAACAACAATATTAGTTCTTTAATTTGTTGTGTTCCAATCTATGCAGATGGGTAATTTGGTGTCATTCAGGAGTGCCAGTCAACATGCTATGTTTGTTTTTACATCATATGTACGGGAAAAGACTCAGAAGAATTTTGAAATAGAAACATATTTGTTTCCTACAAGGGTTTTAAATGTTTCCCTTCTGGAAGCAATATACCCATGAGTTTAGTATTGTCAGTAGTATCCCTAGAACATTAGCTAGGACTTTGTAGGACTTTGAGCACACAGACACACAAAACCATACAGTAAATTAAAGCACAGGACCATTTTTACGCCAGTGGCACATTGGACATAGCTTCTTATTATTATTCTTTGCGCTCAATGGCTGTAAACTCCAGCGGAAAATTCTGGGGGTTCGCCGACTTTCAAGCCTTTATCTTGTTTCAGAACCTGAGTGTTGAGTGCACATACGTTTCACAGGCCAGGCTTATTTGTATTCAGACTCTTGGTTCCTTGACTCTCAGGCAGATGTACTTCAACTTCGCAGGACGCCTGCTTGTTGTCGAGGCCCTCCCAAAAACAACCCTAGCCTAAACAAACAATAACAGAGGCCAAAGTTATTATACTGGATTCCACCAATGATATCAGAAAGATCTCACAGGACAGAACTGAATAGAGGAAAAGACAGAGAGACATATAATGGTACAAAAGAACAAAGATAAAATGGCTTGGAGAGCTTCCACTCAGACTGAGCCACTGTATCAGGTTCTGGGTTCAGTTCTGGGCTGCGGTTTGGTTCTCAAGTGCAGGTTTTTAAAATAGATCCATGGGGTTCATCACCTTAGCTACATGGTTCTGTGGAGGTCAAGCCATGTAAGATCAAAATCTAGTGCAATGAAGTTACTACAAACCCCATACCTGCAGGGAAATAAGTGTCTGTCCAAACGAGAGGTAGAACTTCTTGGAACATTTCTGTTCTTTCAGATGATAGTGTTATTTTGTGCTATCAGGCTTCATGGAACTCGCAGCCAATGGCTTCATAATACCTCAGGCATGAACAATAAACTGAATGCTGCAGCTATAAAGCCTTCATCAGCATATGATGCATAAGGAAACTGATACAATTACAAACACAAATACAAAAAAATTACTTGGTTTTACTATAAGACCGATCACAAAATATCCATCCTTGCTTGAAAGATTGGAGATTCTTACACCATATACCAACGGGTAATAAGCCTTGACTGCATGAAATGACTTCTTCAATCTACTCAGTTTTTGTCATCATGTCTATTCACAGACTTCTGCCTAGTTAAATTTACATGATGTTTCTTCACACAACTATTTACAGTATCCCCTTTCTTGGTGTGCTCCTGCTTCTCTTTCCCTCTAATTTTCCTGTTTTTATGAAAAACAGTTTGTAGAGTCTAAATGTATTTATCTGTAGCAATACTGCATGTCTGACAATATTTTGGTAGCTCCTTTTTTTTCTCCCCTACATCCTCTGCAACTCTCTTAATCCATAACTTCCATAATTAGTACTGTGTTTTCACAACAAATTTGTATGTTTGTTGGCATCTTTCCTAATGATAGTGTTTTACAGTGCTATAGGGAACCACCCAAATCACAGCCCATAGTCAACATTCATCTGGGTTTCTCTGCAGTTTCTTCTCATGACAGTGGTCTACACTTGCTCTCTTGATGATATCTTTCCATGCCATCGTTTCAGCCCATCTAGCATCGTCTCTTCTGGTCTGCCTCTACCCCTCTTCCCAATGATCTTTTCAGTTGTCACAATGTTGTCCAATGCCTCTCTTCTCATTACTTGGGGGGGGGGGGGGGGGGGGGGGGAACAGTGTTTGTCTCCTTCTTATGTTGTATACAGAGATCTACTTTTGTAAGCTTTTTTTAAACAATCGTTGTTGGTTACTCTGGCCGTCCAAGCTATTCGTAACATCTCAGCTGCTTCTAAATTCCTCTTAATTTGTTCACTGACATTCCAAGAATTCGCTGCCATATAGCAGAACAGGTTCTATGTAACAATTTAGCACTATTTTTCTGACATTAAATTAGAACAACTTAGTGCATAAGATATTTTTTCATTTTTTGAAATGCTGCCTTTGCTTGACCTATTCTGCTTTTAATCTCTGTTCCACGTTTTCTATCTGATGATATGATTGTTAACAGATATTTGAATTTATTGACTGAGTTAAGTCTTTTTCCTTCAATTGAGATATCACAATGTGGTGTTATCTTCTTAATGGCAAACTACTGAATGTAAAACTGCCAAGTAAAACCATAGCAAACTACTGAATGTAAAACTGCCTAGTAAAACCACAAACAGTCAGAGAATGCTGGGGCTGGTTGGCAACATTCTGTAAAGGACAGGCAACTTAACTTTCACATAATACCTTTTGTCCAGCTTGCTGTCAATAAGATCTTGAGTCTGATTGGACGACGTTTTGGCCGAGAAGTTAATAAAGACTGGCATGTACTCGTCACTTAATCCTCTCATTAACTTGTCCAGTATTGTCAGCGTTTTACCAGTTCCAGTAGGGCCCACTGCTAACAGCTGATGAAAGATTTGCTTTATTAAAATATATGAGTTTGAAGTTTGAACAACTGATCAACATCATGGCACCCATAAGCGCTCCATTCTTCTAACTCAAGTCTGAGTCCGAAGAAGCTCAGCACAGTGCACAGACTCTGTAGCACTGGTGATGATCCTGAAATACTTTGGGTAGATTTTAAACTCCATATTTTGCCCGGGCAGCGTGTTAGGCTTCTCTTTTCAATTTCCAACTGCCAAGGGATTTTTTACATTCACAACAATGCACATGGGCGTTCGATCTCACTACCCAGAGACCAGGGGGGATTACAAGAAGTCAAAATCCATGTGACAAAATCCCATCCCTTACGGGGAATTGAACCCGGAACCTCTAGCACTTGAGGCAGACACCATGCCTCGAGACCATGAACCCCCAACTAAAATATATGAGTAAGGTAAAAGACCTTTCCCATCTAGGGCTAGGCCTGTATTTTACAGACCAATCGGCATTTGGTGAGTGAGGTTGTCAGTCAGCATCATGCAAGCCACATTTACTTCCTAGGACTTTACCTAGTACCCATTTAAGGCTAGCTCAATCTGGAAGCTAAGGTCATTTTGAAATCAAAAAGTCTAGCAGCGTTTGGATTTGAACCCACAACTTTGAATCAGCAGGCAAGCATCTAGCCGCTACACCACAGCAGCTCCATTAAAATATATGTTTATGATTCAACTCAGAGATAGATTTAACTGTCAATAGCTGAATAGAGATTTGTCTCATTATGATAAACGTTTATTAGACTCGTAGATAACTTTAACTCTTACAACAGTTGGTCAGAGATTTGTTTTATTGTAACGTACATTTATTTCACTCACAGGTCCTTTTTCATTTTATGGTGAGAAATTGGTTTTATTGAAAGAACACTTATCTCCTTCACAGATAACTTTAACTCTTACAACAGTTGGTCAGAGATTTGTTTTATTGTAACGTACATTTATTTCACTCACAGGTCCTTTTTCAATTTATGGTGAGAAATTGGTTTTATTGAAATGTACACTTATCTCCTTCACAGATAACTTTAACTCAAAATTCAAACTGGTGCGAGAATTGTTTCATTAAAATGTACATTTTTTCCTCTCACAAGTTTAACTTTCATTTCCTTGTGAGATATTTGTTTCACTAAAATGTATATTTATTTCATTCACATATACTTTAACTCTCCTAGCCACAAACAATACTGCAGCAAATGTTCAAGGATGTGGGGTGGGGGGAATGTACAAGTTTTCAACAGACATAAAGACAGCCACATCTAATTCACAGCTAAATATTTTTAAGATAGAAAGTTAGCAAAGCAAGAAAAGGATGAGTTTGTGTAGAGGTATAGAGCTGCTATGTGCGAGTGGGACATGAATGATACAAGTACAGAGGTGGATTTATAGGAATAGGGTTTACTGGATCACAATGCATGGAAAGAGGGAAATTAGGAAGGGTATAGGTACGACGGAGAAAAGTATTGTAAACAGTTTAAGATTTTTAAAAATGACCTCAGCTCTAAGGTCGACCCAGCATTAAATGACTACCAGGTAAAGTCCTGGGAAGTAAAGGTGGCCAGAATGATGTTGACCACATCACTTACTGACTGGCAATATGTCTGTGAAACATAGTTCTAGCCATATATGCCCAATATCGCCTGAAGGCACAGCAGAAGGTCATTTCCTTGGCTTCAGACTGGCTACCGAGCTGGGCATCTGAGAAGTTCGAAGTTTCAAAAACAGATCAACATTATGGCAAACGAGTAGTAACCCATAAGTGCTCCATTTTTCTTCTAACTCAAGTCTGAGTACGAAGAAGCTCAGCACAGTGCACAGGCTCTGTAGCACCGGCAAGGATCCTGCAATACTTTGAGGAGATATTTAACTCCAAATTTTGCCCGGGCAGCACTGGTAGGCTACTCTTTTCGATTTCCAACTGCCAACTGAGAAGAAACATGTCAAACACATGTGTTGGCAACAATGGTCTTGAAATGTCATGCATTCATTGTGGAAGATTCATCTTAACTTGAGCTGGTCTTGCAGAGCGCACTTACCACCACCATGGTCTGTGACTCCCATATTTTCTTATAAAACAATATATTGTGTTAGGTTATTACAGTCTACATCACTGCACACTGCGCACTCTCATGCATGTTCGATCTTCCAATGCAGCAGCTACTCCAAGGTAAATCTAATGTTCCCATGAGGAGCTGGTTATAATGTCTGACACTTTAAAAAAAAAATATATAGTCTGAGTTTAAACTATGAGAAACATTTGACAGTATTGAACATATTTTGAATTGGCAAGCAATATCGAAGGAAGAAGATGGAGATGTTGAATACGTATGCAGAATGCCAAATAACACTCTGGCAGGAACACTCTTCGATGGATAAAGGAAAAGTAGACAACCCACGGACCTGGAGAAACACAGTAGAAAGGGAAATGAATTAAATTAAATTTACATTGGATACTATGAGCAGAAAAGCAACAAATCAGCAGCAGCAGAGATCACCTGTGAATGCCTTATGTATCAACAGCAACACAAAGAAGATATGGACAGAACAGTGAGAAAGTACAAGAGTAATTATGGACAAACTTTGATTAAGAGAGCTACAGAGGCTGTTTAATTATAAACAGCTGAAATGATTATAATCAGAAATGCAATAATGCTACAAATGTAATTAGACTCTACAAACTGTTTCTCGTAGTAATAGGAAAGTTAAAGGGGAAGATCACCATGTGGGTTCCGGGGCCCCATTGTGGGTGAAAAAAAAAAATCCAACACTGGCTTCCCAAAAGCATGTCGTAAGAGTGGACTAATTAGGAGTTTCCTTCAAAGTCAGAGTGCATCTGCCTGAGAGACAAGGAACCAACCGTCTGTGTGTAAATGAGCCAGACCTGTGAAACCGGACTAGAGACCAGAAATGAACGAACAACCTGAACTTTCAACTAGAGTTTACAGCTGATGAACGCGAAGAAGAAGAAAGGAAAAAAGAGGCCAGGAAAGGCCAAACGAGAAGATGTCAAACAGTTTTGACACTGAACACAGAAGAAACCTTGTACCAGAAATGATTGAGAAAACAACAACGGCTGTGAACAGATATAGATATGATGACTAATGCCACATGGCAATGATTAAAAGAAAAACCAGTAAAAATAAAAGAGGTAAAGAAAAGAAAATTAAGAAATGCACAAATAATAATCTTAGCATTCTCTTATTTACAACAAGCATGTTTAAGCTGTAAGTTGAGCAGCAAGTGTGTAAAGGTGGAGCCATAATCTTTCATCCATGTTATGTAGCAATGGCAGTCAAGTCTATCCACAACATTCTGTCTTGTGTACTTTCAATCAATTCTGACACAGATGATCTTCTACGCTATTATGTCAAACTGTTCAGCATTTTCTCTCAAGTTCCCTCTGCCTCTTTTTCCCTCCAACTTTCCCATTCCACCGTCACGATGTACTCCAGTTTTGTCCTTTCCATGACGCGATCAAAGAATGTAGATTGTATCCTCCTCAAATGGCCAATCAGTTCTTTTCATGAGTCAATTTCTTTCAAGAATCTTCAACACTCTTGTAATCTATCCAGGCTGTTATCATTTCCCTCCACATAATTCTGTTCCACTAATTGACCAACTGTTCATGATTCGGAACCATAATATACAGGGTAACGGTGATACTCTAGTATACACATGATGGGAGCTGTGGTAGCGTAGTGGTTAGATGCTCACCTGCCAGCCCGAAGGTTGCGGGTTCAAATCCACATCAAATCAGAGGTTTTAAAAACTGAACTGGGCTCCCAGGCTGACCCAGGCTAAACTTGATCCCAGGAAAAATCTGGAAAGTAAAGGCAGCTCGCAAAATGATGACTACATGGCATGGATTATAAGAAAAGAGGCAGGGAGCAGAATAAGAAATAATTAATTGATATTAACAAATAATGATCTTACCCTTTTCTTATTGACAACAAACATGTGTAAGAAGTAAGTTGAGCGGATAGTGTCGATGGTCGGAACCATGATATCTGAATATTTCATCTCTGGGAGAATCTGATATTCTTCCTTCTTATGCAGCCAGTTGATCCACTGGATATTCTATAATACATATCAGAATAATAGATTCAAAGGTGACCAGTAATCTAGAATCATGTTAGCATAATAGTTACATGTGTCAAATATTCTATAATACAGAATGGGATGATAGATTCAAAGGTGGCTCGTAATCTAGAATCATGTTAGCATAATAGTTACATGTGTCAAATATTCTATAATACAGAATGGGATGATAGATTCAAAGGTGGCTCGTAATCTAGAATCATGTTAGCATAATAGTTACATGTGTCAAATATTCTACAATACAGAATGGGATGATAGATTCAAAGGTGGCTCGTAATCTAGAATAATGTTAGCATAATAGTTACATGTGTCAAATATTCTACAATACAGATAAGGATAACAAATTTGTCATCATCAACAGTCACAATGACTCCTATATTCTAAAAAAAGATCAGAAAACATACTCAAGATGGCAAATAATCTGCAATGAAATCAGCATAATGGTTACAATGTTTCTGGATGAGGCACTATGGGATCCCACAGAAAAACCTTCACTTGGTAAAGGCAATAAGTTATGATAATGAGGGAAAATGAAACTAACTGCTGCATTGTCACTTTTACTTATTCTTCTTCTTCTTGGTGTTCACAAGCTGTAAACTCTAGTGGAAAGTTCTGGTTGTTCATCCACTTCTGGACTACAGTCCTGTTCCAGAACCTGAGTGTTGCATGTGCATCCGTTTTACAGATCTGACTCATTTGTATGCAGACTGCTGGTTCCTTGCCTCTCAGGCAGATGCACTCCGATTTCGAAGAAAGCTCCCAATTAGTCGACTCTAACGTTATGCTTTTAGGTAAGCAGCGGGTCTATTCTTGTTTTCCCTATAATAGGGCCCCAGAACCCACACGGAGGAATCACCTTTACTAATTTCAATGGTAGCAGACTGGTTTATGAAGACTACAACCACCAGGAATGAAATTTAGTGGACATCTACAGCTTGATGACCTGGACTTTGCTAATGAAATTTCTCTTCTATCCCACTCATGGAATCAGATACAAGGCAGACCAAGAAGACAGTGCAGGATCACATTCAGGCAGACCTACAAACATATTAACATATTCAGGCAGACCTACAAACATTTTAACATATTCAGGCAGACCTACAAACATATTAACATATTCAGGAAGACCTACATCATTTTAACATATTCAGGCAGACCTACAAACATATTAACATATTCAGGTAGACCTACAAACATTTTAACATATTCAGGCAGACCTACAAACATTTTAACATATTCAGGCAGACCTACAAACATATTAACATATTCAGGCAGACCTACAAACATATTAACATATTCAGGCAGACCTACAAACATTTTAACATATTCAGGCAGACCTACAAACATTTTAACATATTCAGGCAGACCTACAAACATATTAACATATTTAGGCAGACCTACAAACATCTGGTGTCACCAAATGGAAAAACAGGGCCAATCACAGAGATAAATGGAGGCAGACCAAGAAGACAGTGCAAAGATCATATTCAGGCAGATCTACAAACATCTGGTGTCACCAAATGGAAAATCAGGGCCAATCACAGAGATAAATGGAGGCAGACCAAGAAGACAGTGCAAAGATCATATACAGGCAGACATACAAACATCTGAATATAGGCAGCTATCTGTGATGTTGGACTTCAGGAATTTAGAATCCTGAACAACAAGAAAGAGGAGGGGGAGAAGGAGAAGAATGAGAAAATAATGAGGCTGGTTGTGAAAAGTGGTATAGGGAGGGGCGTGCAGGGAAGTGCAGGCCACCCCGGGTGTCAGCACTAAGGGGTGTGACAAAATGGCAAAAATAATAGCTGTTCTAATAAAATAAAAAATGAATGTGAGGTGGAGTTACAGGAAACAGCCCGCACTGGGTACCACCTGACCATGTTACGCCACAGTTTGTGACATTGTGTAAAGGGTTACGCCACAGTTTGTGACCTTGTGTAAAGGATATGTAAGTAGCTTATGAACAAGAAACAAATAATGGGGAAAAGCCCAAGGGAATATAAAATAAGAATGTTACCAGACAACAGTACATATTTTAGTAGACCTTACCCTTTCACCTTCTTCGTCCTCTTCCTCTGATTGAGAAAGAATGCCTGCATCATCAAACCGATAGTCATACACCAAACCTGCACTTGGGTATGGTACTTTTATCTGAAAAAGTGCATCTTATATTTTACTCATCTGGTAACATATGTAACTGGTTTAAAGGGAAAATCTATAAAGGAAATGATTGCTGCTTTTGCTGTTACAACCGGAAGTCGAACAATGGAGAAAACCGACAGCAACACAATTAAGATCATAGATTACTTCAGTAAAATACATTCTGCAACTCAGTTTGATGAAGACAGCTATCACTTTATAAATGTATGGATTAAAAAGAGTTAAGATTATAAAATTAGGAACCAACAGGAGTAACACAAAAGATGTATAGACCAATGGAAGTTAATATAAGAAATGTACAGTCCAATGGAAGTTATTATAACAAAAGCACAGACCAATAGAAATTAGCATAATAAATGTACAGACTAATATGATTAACATGATAAATGTACAGAACAACGAGTATTAACATAATAAATGTATCAACTAATAGGTCTTAATCCTCTCACTCAGGGAACACTTTTAATAAAATGTTGTCTTGACCATGAAGGAATTCCATAAAAAAATATCCTACAGATTTTTTTTTACACAGGTAAAAAAAAATGTATCTAAATTTGTCATTTCTTTTTCTCAAATATATAAAAATAGATGAAGGTGGTAATTAATAAAACATGAACAGGGTGAAGCATTAAATGAAATCCATTTCTTAATACCTAAAGACAAACCCAGAACTACTTGCTCACTCATGCCAATCTGGAAAAGGTTTACGTAATAAATGAAAGAACCAACGGAAGTTAACATAATAAATGTACAGACCAGTGGAAATTCGCATAACAAATATATAAACTAACAGGACTTGATAAACGCATGAACCAGTGGTAGTGAACATAATAAATGTAGTAGTAGTATTAGTACATTTTACCCCACTAGGATATCGCACAAGTGATAAACACCTGATGACACAAAGTGCCACCATGTTGATGAGGATCACCCGTGGAGAGGTCCTGGAAACTGCGTTCAGCCGTTAGACCATATTTATGGCCGGGCTATATTAAGGCCCCTGGTAAGAGCCAGGGTGGGGCTTGAATAGTTCTGCTCTGAATCAAGTTAGGGAGTTTAAATATCTAGGAAGTATGATCACAGAAGATGGTAGAATTGACAGAGAAATAGAAACCAGATGTCACAAAGCAAGTGCACTTATATACCAATTGTCACCATTATTAAGACATCCAAGCATAACTATGAGTGCAAAGAGACAGATTATTTATAGCAAACTGGGACACTTTCTAAAGCCCATATACGCAAAATCACCACCTGCTATGAGGTGCCTGAGACCAAAAGCGTAGCAGCCAACCTAGCCAAGATCTAAAGTGAAAAATGGGGCGTGAACTGTTCAAGTGTTAAACTGTTTTCTCTTTTCTCGTGTTTTCACTGCTCACTTGCGTGATTATTTTCACGTTGTGCCACTTGCGCGACAGTTCAGAAGTATAGAAACTAGAATGTTTTGTTATTCCTATGTTCCTTGTTAGTGGCTTTTTTTCTTCTGGCGGGAAGCCACCACCAACAAACGCAAAAATACAAAAACATCCCAGTTTTGATACTCACAAACTGTCACATCCCCCAGCAGAACTTTTTACTTGTACACAGGCGCCTGTGGTGCTTCAAAGAGACTCATGACTACACAACCTCCTACAAACATTATATACGGCATGCAAATGCCAAAAGAAGCCATCTCATAACACCCCAACATAGGACAGGCAGTGTGATCCGGTGAGGCATGAATGGGAAGGGAGGTTACTCTCATTTTTCAGACGACATTGTGGTAAGTTCCAGAAGTAGATATTGAATGTGGACACTCACCTTATGCTCAGTGATTTTCTCCCTCAGCCAAGCAGAGAACTTGATTCGTCCATCACTATCACATGTCGCACCCAAGGACCACACCAAAGAAAATATGAACCATGGCTCAATTAGCTCAGCCAGTCTTAGTATGTTGTCCTCAGAGATGATATCACTCTGTGAACAAGCAAACAGCATAGGATCAACAGTGTATGATGACAGATGAGTCTTTCAAAGAGAGTGGAAAGTTATATAGTACCTGTTACTGTCCAAAGCTTAGTTAGTTGGTTAGCCAACATTAATCCTCACTGCACAGACTATCAGCTTACCTGCAAGCCTATCCGCTTGCTCCTTTCCTTGCACACTTGCATGCTCTGGCATGAAAATGAAAATGATCTTTGTCAGCCCCTGACCGCCTCCGAGACAACAGTCCTTGGACATAGCTCATCTCTACCAGAATACACACTGAGTCACTGAATCCGCACAGAGGCATCTGGCTTATAGCGCTTTTTCAGGATGCTTGCGCATTGTAGGTCCAGTGCAAGGACACTAGTCTGACACCTGTATCCTTTCCTCATCTCCTGATTCATTGGACTTTTAGTTCTCACCCACAGCTCCACATTAGTGATTCTGCCATACCATTTAATTGTATCTATTCTGTGCAGATACCTTCTTCTTCTTTTGTCAATATCTGCTTAAACCACTAGGCGTCATGGTTCATCAGATGATCGGCAGCCGAGCTAGGGTGTGCCTAATTGGTTTCATTCTCATTAGATGGCTAAACCATTTCATTCTTTGTTTCTTAATAAATTTGATGAGTGTTATTCCAACAGTTGTGATCACCTCGTTTCTCGCACAATCTTTTCTGGTATTATTCCCAGCCATTCTCAAACATCTCATCTCACAAGTGGTTAGTTTTCTCTCATGTTCTTTTGTCAATGTCCAAGTCTGACACTGGTAACCTAAGGTTGGTATAAATATTGTATTTATAATTTGTCCTTTTGTGCATGCACCAATTAATTCGTTTTGTAATAACTACTTACAATTAATACTGTATTACTAGCTGTATGGAAGCCACCTTGGTGTAGCGGCTAGACGTTTGCCTGCAGATCTAACGGTTGTGGGTTTAAATCAGAAAAGCGCCTGACTTTTTTACATTTTTTATAAATGACCTTGGTTCCCAGGTCGACCCTGCCTTCAATGGTACCAAGTAAAGTCCAGGATAATTTTAGTGAAAATTAACAACTTATATTCAAGAATATTTTCTTTCTTTCTTCTTTCTTGTGTTATACCAATTATGCTGTAAATCTTTGCAGAGAGGAGTTACATGTAGTTTCTTTTTTTTCCTAGTTGCATGGCATGTTAATGTCATATTGCATTTTCTTAGTGTCTTTTTTTACTCCATCTATTTGCCCGGCTCTCTAGCGTAGTTGGCTAAACCGGATTGCACGGAGACCGGGTGACCAACTCCATGTGGTCCGGGTTCAATCCCGGAGGTAGGCAGGAAAGCCACATTTTCTCCCAGATTTATGGTATTTACAACGAAATCAAGGCCAAAAGGTTAACAATTCATGGCTTCTGGATACTAAAACAAACAACTCCATTTATTTCTTGACTGTTTTTTTGTCTTGTAGCCTGTTGTTCTCATATAATATGCTCTAGCCTCTGGCCAATTTTACTCCACCTCTTTCTTGACTGGGCTCTTGTCTTGTAGTAATTAATGATGAATAAGTATGGTAAATGTGGTAATTATTATTCTACTGATGAATAACTATGGTAAATGTGGTAATTAATAATCTACTGATGAATAATTATGGTAAATGTTGTAAGTAATAATATCCATGGATGAATAACTATGGTAAATGAGGTAATTAATAATTTCTTGAAATACTAAAATTGTATAGTGAATAACAACTACTTACAAGTTTTTGATTTGGCTGAAATATTTTAAAATAAAATAAATACTTCAACCAATGTTATGTCATTGAGTTCTCATAAAGAAACACTGCACAAGTTAAACTGTATTCAAACTGTTAAGTTGTATACTGCATAGGTTAAACTCATCATGATGAAGCATTAAGACTGTTAAGCTGTCTACTGCATAGATTAAACTATATTAAAACCGTTAAGTAGTATACTCAATAGGTTAAATTGTTTTCAGACTGTTCAGTTGTATACTGCATAAGTTAAATTGTATTCAGACTGTTCAGTTGTATACTGCATAAGTTAAATTGTATTCAGACTGTTAACTTGCAGCAAAGCCAGATTTTTTTTTTAAATGACCTTGGCTCCCAGGTTAACCCGGCCTTGAGTGGGTACCGGGTGCAGTCCCGGGAAGTAGAGGCGGCCGGCGTGATGCTGACCACATCATCCATCTTGTGCCGATTGGTCTATAAAATATAGGTCTAGCCCTATATGCCCTATACGCCTAAAAGCGTGGAAAAGGAACCTTTACTTTACTTGGCTGACCCTGAAGCCCTGAGACTCATGATAGTGTATCCATTGCAGCTTTACGTCTTTCTCAGTTGACCAAGTCAACATTATGTCAGATCATTTTTCTGAATAACTCGCTGTCCTGTTGTGCCATTATGTGTCATACAGGGCTTGTAATCTATTCCTCTGACCTGTTCTATCCTGTACAACCACTTCAATATCATGTATGGAATCCAATCTTACGGAAACCTTTGGTTTATCTCATCAACCTTCACTTTGGGGTTTCCTTTGGCAGTCCTTATTTCCTTAATCCCTCTATTTCCTATTTCATTGCCTGATTGGTGATTCTCTGTTCGTGGAGGAGGTGGGGGTACACCCCCCCCCCCCCCCCAAATGGAGCCCCAGGATCCACATGGGGGAATCAGACTAACATCTGTCAAGTACTGAAAGAGTTAAGAAACTGGACAGGTCTTTTTAAACTGTCCACATTCTTCTGCACAACATGTTTATAAACAATACATTAAAAATATGACTTGTCAAACTGTATGTTTGCACTGTCTCATTATATAATGCAGAAACCTAGACAATGAACAAAACAGTTCCCCCTATGTGTTCTGGGGCCCTAGTGTGGGGAAAACAAGAACAGACCCACTGCCTACCCAACAAGCATGTCATGAAAGTCACTAATTGGGAGCTTCCTTTGAAGTCAGAGTGCATCTGCCTGTGAGGCAAGGAACCAACACTCTGCATACAAATTTGTTACATCTGAAAAATGGATGCATATGCAACACTCAGATTTTGGAAAAGGACTCCAGTCCAGAAGTGGATGAACAACCAATACTTTCTGCCAGAGTTCACAGCTGGTGAACGCGAAGACGAAGGAAGGAGAACAACAACACATCCTTACCTGCACTGGAATGCTGGTGACACCCGACTGGTGTAATCGGTAAGGGTGACCTAACTATAACTTTTCTGGGGGTCGAATGGGGTATCTGGGGTTCTACCAGACTGAGATTCTTTAATTTCAGAATGGTACGTTAAACCTTCTTGTAGCAGCCTAGAGGAGGCAAACTGACTGATGGATTGACCAATGAACACGCAATTAGAGAGCTGTGCCGAGGTTCCGGAGACATGCATTTACAGAAGAAAGTTCTTTTTTATGGAAACAAAAACATTTAGAGGCTCTGAATGAATTGAGTTAGGGGGAAAAAACAACTGCTGAAAGAATATATAAAAAAAAAATTATAATAATAACCAAGATGAACACACTATTTCAGCCACATGAACTCTCTGGGTCCCAGGGGTTTAGCATCAGAGGTCCAAGGGAAATTCAAGAGACAAAAAAATCAGCGCAGCTTGTGTTCATTAGGCCTCTAGATAGGAACCTATCAAGGTATGATGTGTTGCTTGGGGCTGAAAGAGTTAAAAGGCATGGAACTTTTATTTTAAAAACCATACAAAAAAAAGAAAACACAGAAGGCACAAAAGCAAGAGGTAGAAAGCGATTCAAACTGTAAGATCATAACAAAACAGGGCTGGAGACACAGAATTTTACCTGCTTGCTTTCTCAATGACTCAATTAGTAGGTTCAGCAAGACAGAGATGGACTAGGTTTGAAAACATTTGTTGGTGTCTCTGAGGTAGTTCAGTTTCCTTTTCACACAAGGAAATGAGCACAATGACAGACTGGCAGGAAAAGCTCTAGTGAAAGACAGCCGAGTAATGAGCTGGTCTCATAAAGTGAATGCACTACAAAATGTTAGACATTTGTGAGGACTAAATGGTGTTGTTATCCACTTCAAGCTCCAGGATTAACTGAGGAGATCCGAGCACTTATGGATTGAATGGCTTGATGTGCAATGTGAGCAATCCGTCAACACAC